AAAGAATAATGCAATCTAACATCAATGATGTTAGAACACTAATCTAAGTGGTCACACTTGATACGTTTTATTAAATGAATCATATAATGTGCATTTTAGTGAATCTATCATTTAATGTCATGCAATTGTCACCCAAATTGCTACTTGACACCAATGATACTAAATAACATTATTCTTTCTCAATACACATCTATGCGACTATCTATAAACCTGAAGAAGGAGATAGTGGTCGGATTAACAATGTTTCTCTCTTCTGAATTTAATAAATAATATTCGAATTTTAGTGGATGGCGGTGATGGTAATTTTAGTGGTAGAGGTGATGTGGATGAATTTAATAAATAATATTCGAATGTAACGTGAATGTAAATAATAATTTTTTAAAAATTTAAAATTTTAACGGGAATAGGTATAGAGGGGATAGATATATAAGAATGGTAAATATGAAATAGCGGGCCCCCTTAATTAATAATCAAAGGAAACAAAATAAATTGTAAATAATTGTAGAAAAAAAATATTTATTTCTTCACAAAAACATTTTAGATATATCAACCAAGATAATATATAATATAATTCAAAAAGTGTTTATTGGTGTACGTGATATTCAAATCTAGAAATGCGAGAGATTAGTGATAATTTTCAAAGGTAAGGGAGTGTCTCTAACACTGTCTCTATATCTTATAAAAATCACGTAACATTTGCAAAATCAAAATATGTATCTCTTTACAGTGCTAGTGACAATGGTATTTGTGTCACTGTGTGCAATGCAATTGTTCTTACTCGTAGAGGATGCTTATAAGTTATTGCGTCTTAATTATTTCTACTTGTTATCGTGAATTCCTACGCACCCTTCAAAACGAAAATGAGTACATTTGTGCTACTTGAATGCCAGCACACACTCTATGTACAACATAGATTACACATAAACAAGAAATAATTTGATTCAAGATTTAAAGAAATATTTCACGTACTTTGTTCTCAAATTCTAATAAATACTTATCCTGACAAATCACACGTATTCAT